TCAGAAGAAGACAGAGGAAACACGGGACGAGCAGGGGGGGGGGGGGGGGGGGGGGGGGGGGGGGGGGGGGGGGGGGGGGCGGCTTAAATGCCCTTCATTGATTTCCTGCAATACTTGAGATGGTTTCAAGGAAGAAATCAGGGCTTTGTGAAAAAAATGCCTTTAACGTCATTTAAGAGATTTATGATTTGAAGGACTTTTGAAGGTACTTTTTTTGGATATGCTTTTTCGCTTTTCATTGTGTATCTTGATGCAGTGAGTTAACTGAGTTAGGCTAGAAAACGTTTGCTACCGAGTGGATTTTTTTGGTTTCATATGTTTATGGCATTACGGTAGTTCAGAGTGGAATAAGGTTCTATACGTTGGCGTTTGTGATTGTATTCGTTGAAAGACGGCCGCTTTACGGCACAGGTTTCAGTGTTTATGATGGGTGTGTTTCTCCGTATACGTCACGGCGTGTTACGACCGTAATATGGTCGTTTAGGATTGTCGTAACCATCGTCCTGGGTATGTTTTATCGCTTATTGACTTCAGATTCTTGTTTTTTTTTTATCAAATTTCATAAATATGGCGCATACTAAACAGACCGTTTCAACTTTAATAAGTGAAGCTCCTTCTAGATAATTGAATTAAGTGTCATATACTCATGCAATTTTCAAGAAAAAAAAACACTTTTTAATATGAATTAATCAAAAGAACGTTTCAGATAATTGAAGATGTTTTATTAGGCTGGAAAATTATTAAAGGCCAAAATTTATTTTAATATTCACAATTCACACAAATTTTATTAGGTAATGAAATCTTTAAATAGTTGTTTAAGCATGAACTTTTAACTTGAGGAATGATATGCATAGAAACTTTTTCTTTTCTTTTATCAGAAGCGTATATATATATGTATATATATATATGTATATCTGACGGTGAAAGAGAAGGCTACAGAAAGACAAAAAACGTTCTTAGTGGATGAAATTTTGGGCTAAAAATTTTGCTTAGGACTACATCATAACCTGCGCTGTTTTTAACAATACCAATTTTACGTGTTAGAGTTTTAGAAAATTTTTCTCGACCATCAGATATCCGTAAAAATTGAAAAGCATTATTGCATAGTCTGTGCAAGTGACGAAAAACAAGTACTCAAACGTCAATAATGGCTGCCAGAACTTTCAGCAACAAAAATTGGCCTGAAAAAAGCCGAATTCAAAATTATCTGGTGATCTGGGTAGACAAAAACATCGACGAAGGCAACAAGGATTGCCAAAGGACATTGGCAAAATTGCGCAATGTGGTCAACGAGGTGAGTGTGTGTACTGAACCGGCACAGTGCATAAAGTGCCTTAATGAATTAGATGACGGAAAAGCATTCGTCATCTCATCAGGTGCTCTTGGAGAGCATCTTGTATCAGAGATACATGCCATTCCACGATTGGATGCCATCTATATTTTTTGTGGCAATAAGACTCGCCATGAAGGCTGGGCGAAAAATTGGGTGAAGATTGAAGGTGTTTACACATCAATCGACCCAATTTGTGAGTCGTTAAAAAAGGTCGCGCGTCAATGCGACCATGACTCAATTCCCATGAGCTTCGTTCCGAAGCAAAAATGTCAAGGCAGTGCACAAGCTGGTGAACAGAACCTGGATCAATTACCAGCGACCTATATGTACTCGATTCTCTTCAAAAATATTGTTTTGGAAATCAACGAGGATGATAAAAAATCATTAAAGGATTTGATCATCTATGGCCGTAACAAAAAAGTTCCTGAAACGGAACTGAAAGAACTTCAAAAGTATCACCAGAAATCACCCATCTGGTGGTACACATGTGAATTTTTTCTGTACGGCATGTTAAACATGGCCCTACGCTTGCTTGACATGGAAACAATGGTGAAGATGGGCTTTTTCATCCGAAGTCTCCATCGACAGTTGGAGCATCTACATGAAGAACAGGCCAAACTATTCGATAAAAAATTCATCGTTTATCGTGGACAAGGTCTCAGTTCAGATGATTTTCAGCAACTATTCGATACAAAAGGTGGCCTCCTGTCATTCAATAATTTTTTATCAACAAGCACCAAACGTAAAGTTGCAATGGATTTTGCTAATGAAGCACTAAGAAAATCTCTCGAAAACATCGCTGTTATATTTATTATGACAATTGAACCAGATGCAGTATCAAATGAAAATACACCATATGCATATATTGAAGAATATTCTGCAGTGAAAACTGAACAAGAAATATTATTCTCAATGCATACCGTGTTTCGCGTTGTTGACATCGAACAAACCGCAGCAAACAAAGGACGTCTATGGGAAGTACAATTAAATCTTACAGCTGACAACGACGAACAACTCGTGAATCTAACTGCAACAATCAATGACGAGATCGGTGGTAGTGGATGGTCTCGGATGGGTCACCTTATGCTGAAAGTCGGTGATTTCAATCAAGCTGAAGAACTCTACAACGAGTTACTTAAGAACTCTTCCAGTGACAATGAAAGCCAACATATCTACCATAAGCTTGGATTGTTGGAAAATAATCAAGGAAAATATCAAGAAGCAGTCTCGTTTTATGAACAATCACTTAAAATTCAACGGAAAACTCTTCCGGAAGATCATTCATCATTAGCTTCTACCTACCATATGATTGGCCAAGTATATAATAACATGGGGGACTACTCAAAAGCACTTGAATATTACGAGAAAGCACATAAAATATTCGAAAAAGCTCTGCCTCACAATCATCCCGATTTGGCTACTTCCTACATTAACATTGGCCAAGTGTATAAAAACATGGGTGACTACTCGAAAGCACTTGAATATTACGAGAGAGCACATAAAATATACGAAAAAGCTCTGCCTCCCTCTCATCCCGATTTGGCTTCGTCTTTCTCCTTTATTGGTGGAGTCTATAGCAACATGGGTGACTACTCGAAAGCACTTGAATATTACGAGAAAGGACTTAAAATATTCGAAAAAGCTCTGCCTCCAAACCATCCCTCATTGGCTACGTCTTTCTCCTGTATTGGTGGAGTCTATAGCAACATGGGCGACTAATCGAAGGCACTTGAAA